CCTGCCGTCTTGTGACCGGCAAAGTAGCCAGCCAATCAGATGGGAGCATCTGTAAACATGGCGTCTGACTTTCGGTGGAAATGTTTAGCGCTCCTCTTTTGTACTTGTTTGCTTTGTTCTTTAGCCACTGGCAACAAAGATAAGCCCAAGAAAAAGAAAGACATAAGAGACTACAATGATGCAGATATGGCTCGTCTTCTTGAACAGTGGGAGGTACAGTAACTTGCTGCTTTTCATTCAGCCGATCTGGTTACCTGGCCGTTAGCTAGCTTACATGTGTCCAAGTATCCAAATACTGCATCAATTTCTTCAGAATTTCGACACGATTACGTCGTCCTCAGATTTGTGTGTGACTTTGCTGCTGCTGGATGTCTGTCACAGGATTGCGTTGTCATTTACAAGTATTGGTGGGGTTGTGTTTCCTAAGTTTATTTTAAGTGGCTTTGTCTTTTAACCTCCTGTCCCACTGAGCGGTGAACAATTGCCAGTGTTTTTTTTTAAAGGCAGCAAATGGTGCGTTCACGCCAGAATTCCTCAGCGTTCGTTTGATGTCGCAAATGTTCGCAAAGTTTTGCCAACAGTTTTAGTATATATATATATATATATATATATATATATATTTTTTTTTTGTCACCGAGAAATTTTGGACATGCTCAAAATTCACTTGCCAACTGAAATGTACAGGTGAACATCCGCCAAAAGTCTGACGACATGAATATTTGTGGGGCTTTAGTTTCTGTACGGCCACTTGCATTCAAGGCTTCCTCGGCAAGTACACACAAGTTTTGCATTTGATTTGACACATTTACAGGTCTGCAGAAGTGTGGACATTTGAAACGATTGTATGGAAAAATAATAATGTTTCCCAGACAGTTGCGACTTCTTTCTTTCTTGCCTTCTATCTTGCTTTTTTGGCTTGTTTATTTGTTTGTTTTTTTCTCCTTTCTTTTTTTGTTTCTTTTTTCCCTTCTTTCTTTCTTTTGGTTTTTTGACAAACAACGTGAACATCTAATAACATATATAGATATCCATGTTTTTTATTTATTTGTGCTTGTGTGCGATGTTTCTCTGTACAGCGATGCCAGCCTGAGAATTGACATCATCTGGCACATATAAATATTCAGAATATATATGTAGAAATAAAAATGGATTTCATCATCATCGCTGTGGTTGTGATTTAACAATGTCAAACTAAAAGCCAATTATCTGGAGTACTGAATCACATTTACATTCCTTTAGAAAGTTGTAGGAATGTAATGAGTCTGATAGTTTTTTTCTCAAAGGCTCTGTTTTGACATGCACACCTATTTACTGAAAATGTTACAATTTATTTTTTTTTAAACAGAAAAGTCTAGAAAAAGTATAAAATCTTGAAATCTCAACTGTGTAGGTCTTAGTTGAATGTAAATTTAATGTTAGCACTGACAGAGTCACCGCCAACCGCCATACACGTGTACAAATGAGTGAACTGCAGTATGACAACGCTTTCCATTTGTTTTTGTGTGCGACACTTCTCCTCTCATGTACCTAGAAAGATGACGACATTGAGGAAGGTGATCTTCCAGAGCACCGACGAGCTCCTCCTCCCATCGACTTCTCCAAGATTGACCAGTCCAAGCCGGAAGACTTGCTGAAGATGTCGAAGAAGGGTCGTACCCTGATGGTCTTTGCTACAGTGTCAGGGGAACCCACTGAGAAGGAGACGGAGGAGATCACGGGCCTGTGGCAGGGCAGCCTCTTCAATGCTAACTATGACATTCAAAGGTATCAAAACCAGCATGTTTGACTTCCTCCAATTTGGACCACTGCAATGGTGTTCATAAGGTTTCCGTTTTCTTTCCCTTCTTTACTGGAAGGCTTCAACTTTTATTTTTTGCTTTTTGAAAATATGACACCACACCTTATTCTCCGTTTCCTCGTGCAGATTTGTGGTGGGCTCCAACCGGGTGATATTCATGTTGCGAGATGGCAGCTTAGCATGGGAAGTCAAAGATTTCCTGCTGACCCAGGAGCGCTGCTTGGACGTCACTGTGGAAGGGCAAGTGTTCCCTGGGAAAGCTGCCAAGGAGAGCGATGGCAAGCACAAGCAGGGGAATGAAGTGAACACCAAGAAGAAGAGCAAAAAGAAGACGGAGGGCTCACAGGTAGATTTGGAAGGGAACAGAGCCCGCCTTGCAAATCGGGAGCTATGATGGAGTGGCAGAGTTGCCTTTTGATTTGTCGGAGAGGCTGCAGGACCACATGAGCAGTTTGCAGTCGAACATCATTTCTCTTTGATTTAATAAATCATTTCTGGGTTGATTCCCTCGGCTGCTGAGCACTCCCATTAGTGTTTTGTTCATCAAGATAATACTGTGTGGCATATACGCTCTTCGTGTGATTGGATCCCAACGGTACTCACGAAAAGCACAGTCTTGTGATGCGTGCATTAGGTTTTCATCAACATACATGCATGTCATAAATGTGACCGACAACACAAGGACTTTGTTCATGTCCAGATGCACTTCAAGCTGTTAAAAAGAAATAAAAAAACAGCTTGTACATTTCTTCTTGATTTTCACTCAATATGAAAATAAATGTGTTTTTATAGAACAGTTCTGTATTTTTTTTCATTTATTTTTCATTGCATACACTGACTAAATGTGTTTTTTAATTGTTTCTGTCTTCCTCCATTTGCCTCTTTCTGTTTTTTGGTCCAAGTGTCACTTGTTGACGCAATCTGGATTTCCCTCCCTTGCGATATTTCACCTGCAATGGTGAGGTCGTCATCTTCTCAGCAAAGAATGCCTCCCAAAAAGGAATTGGTGAGAGCCTCGAAGGTGAAGTAAAGGTAGAGGACCGAATATGATGGAAGATTTTTAACCACTTCTACCATTGATAATTACGAGGGCCATTCAATGAATAAGGAGGAAGTTTTCGGTATACGGACTTCTAATACAGATTTAAAAATGTGTGTGTGTGTGTGTGTGTGTGTGTGTGTGTGTGTGTGTGTGTGTGTGTGTGCATCATGAACCAGCCGATGAATCGGTTGTCAGAGTTATTATGCCAAACATCGGAAACGTCATCTGGCCCGAATGACAATTCGGACATAATATAAAATCGATAGACAGTCTTGTGAGATTTTTGTGGAAAATACCCGATACAGGCGGTAACTTTAGTTAATAGTTATGTAACAGCATTGCAATTGTGACAGGTCATAAAAACTGTGAGCCTATTGTGTGCCAATATGAAGTGAGCATCTGGCTCTTCTCTCCCTCCGGGGAATCCACAACCTTGAGACGAAAAACAGGCCGCTGGGGAAACAGCAGCTGCCATCAGAAGGACAGACCGTTCGCTCTCAGGACAGAGGAGACGCAGCAGGAGTGCATGAGCGTGTTTAAAATGTTTTTAAGGAAGAATATCACTCCATTTATTTTCTTTATTGCGCAGGAGTTTATCCCATCTAAGGTGAGTATAATTTTGGGCAGGCGACACAATACAGCAGCGAATTGGGTGTGTAAAATTTAATTTGGTTTGAAAATTAATACCGCAATGGTTGATTAGAATATATTCGTGCCGACTTTCTCTGACTGCTTGATTCGTTTTTTCAAGTTCCTCTAAATAGGCAGTTTATAGCTTACAGTGACGAGTAATGCTCGTGTATTTCATTCAAACGAATGTATTTGATTTTAAGCTGTCCTCTAGTACCACCTTGTGGACAAAATGAATACAACCCACAGTATCCGTCAAGATTTATTTTAATTACATACCCCGCCCGAATTGAATTATTTTATATATCGCCACCTTCTTAAAATAAGCATCCAAATCACATTTTGGATTTAAAAGGGTTTAAATATCTCCTCATGATGGTTTCAGTACTTGGTTCAGTTTTTTTTTTTTGTCGAAAAAAAATACCCTAGAGGAGTGATTCCATGAGTTGCTTTTGGAGATTGGAAACCTAATATTCGGTCACAAATTTGCACATAATTTTTTTAAACGCATGAGAAGAAATGCGAATTTTCATCTCGATAAGAGTTCAACTTCCCTTGCAAGGCAGATGGTCACATAAAATGACAGTGATCCAACCAGTGTGGCAGGTTCGGTTCCTCCAAACTATCTGAACATCTAATCTGTAAAACACTTCTGAGTGTTTTTTGTACTGAATCTTTGAAAAGTACACAGTAAGACCCAGGATATATCCTACCTCTGCTTTAGCTGCAGGGCCAAGTGTTACATGGTTACAGATAGATTAATTACATATCAAATCTTTTGTCTACTCCTTTGGTCATGACGTGACAGCTATACAGCTAAGGCCGGACGGTACACAGTCTGATATTCTACCATGTCAAAGCCAAAAAGCCAGCAGAAGTGCATTGCGTTTTGCTGGATGGACAGATTTGTGTTGTTGAACGGAGTTAGCTTGACGCAGTGGGGTTTGGGGTGTGTGTGTGTGGGGGGTACTGAATATTCTTCTATTATCCTCCCTACAACACACACACACTGCGCTTCTCAAGCAGGAGCCACTCGACTCTTGGCAACATCCTCGCTGAGGACCCGGTTGTCATGAACCCTCAGCAAAAAGTTGTTGATGAAAGTAAACTTTTTTTTAATACTAAATTGGAGACGGTGTACTTTACTTGTTAAATATATTTTTTATAATCTTCACAGAAGGATGCTTGGCCTGTACTGAAAAGTATCCAGAAAGATACTTATAATATAGTTTTCAAACTTAATTTGTTCCAATTTAGTATGAAAAAAGTACATTTTATATCCCAGGGTATACTTATAAAATATACTTCATATAGTATTTTGACCCAAGCATTTTACAGACATATCGTTCAGACACGACTGAGAACTGTCATAAAGTGAATCTGTAAATGGAAAACCTCCTGAGAATTATGAATACTAAATTGCAAGTCCAGCGCTGTCCTGTCACTTTTTGCAGTCTACCCCAGTTTTGAAATGTTTCAATTGTTTCTTTGTTCTTGCCACTGTGAACAACCAGAAACCACTCAAACATGTCTTGTCAGCATGATTTATTTCTGTACAAAAGTCTCAACAGACAAACATTAACTTTTTTATTTTTCCAGTTTACAAGCTCAAATCACGTGTACGACACATCCATTTTGTTGACAGTGAACAATTCTGATGCAGGATGTTGAAAGGCGGCTCGGTTATCTCTACACGTGACATACCCACAGGACAGTTAACAAGCATCCAGCTCAGATGACGTGACGTCCCTTGCAGATTTAGATTGGTGGAGTCTGCACAATAAATAAGTATAAAATATCTGACATATCTGTGGTTTTCTAAAAACACATCAAACATACGAAACACAGAATTACTCCTACACCCCCCGAAAAAAGACCAGCTATTTCGGCAAAGGGAGGGGTCCATATTTGAACAGATGTTTCTGTTGGACTTTTAAACAAGAAAACAACCTCATAAAAACTCACAACTTATTTGGCATTTAGTGGATCATTGTGTTCTGGGCCTCTTGCTGGTTCAACAATAAAGTACGGACAGATGTCTCACAAACACGAGGTACAAGAACAACTACACAACCTGCTGTTGGATGCTAACGAGGAATGCCGCCCCCCCCCCACCCCCCTCTCAATAATTTCCTTTAACATGGAGATTTAGCACCCTGTTCCACAGTACCTTTAACATTACTTTCATGGAGGGATGCAGATGACATACGCTTGACAGGCTCCCTTGATGATTTATTTTGTCACGTCAGTTGTGCGCTCCAATCAGCCGATGCAGAAAATGCCACTAATCTGTATTCTCTTCTCAACGATTATGACCATTTTCTTTCTTGTAATATTTACGTGTTAATTTTTAGAATATACTTTAAAAAAAATACTTATGTTTGTTGGTAGTGCAGCAATGACACAGTTCAGGTGCTCTCGTGTAATCAAATGTTACCAAAAAAAACAACAACATTTTTTTTAAAAAGAGTATATTGGTTCCCAGGTTAAAGAGGTGTCTGGCTGACATGGTAATCCAGCGAAGAGTTGCAAACAAGAAACGCCAGCGACCAAGACGCAAACCCAGCAGATAAGTGCTTTTTAAATGAAAAGTACATAATCTATTGCAGAAATATTTTGTCTTTCTCCGTAAGCAATAGTCAGCTTGACAAAAATAAACGCGGATGGTTTCGTTCCAGCTGTCAATTGAACTCTTCGCATTTCGGGTTTTCCACCCGAAATGCGTGGCCACTGTCATCTGACCGGCTTCTTAAGCTTTCTCCCTTTTACTTTTCGCACAGCCAAACGGCTTTCAACTTGGACCTGCACGCCTCCTCTAACCCTGACTGTCCTCGGGTACACGTTTGCCGAAATGCAGGACGAACATGATGGGATATGAGGTGATTTATCAGCTCATGTTTACACCAAACTACCCTATGTTACAGCCCAGGCGTTTTGACAGCAGGACTCAATGCGAGGCTTACGATATAATGACGAATGTGCTCACGATAGAACATATAGAAGTGCAGCATCACCGACTTGCCCGTTCATGTATGAAGAGTGTGCCATGATTCCGCAGGGGCAAAAGTAAAGCGGGACAATGTTGAGTTTAAAGCGGTGGTCGAGTCATCGTGGATGATGCTTCTGCCTCTCAACACACCCACACACACAATTCCTCTTCAAAAATACACCAACTTGGACCTGGACCGACGAAGTCTGCAGTCAATGCATATTGTAATATGTGAGTATGTGTGTGTGCTTTTTTTGTTTTTGTTTTGTTTTTTTGTCATTATATTGCAGCCACATAGCCGATTTGTTGTCCTTCTCTTTCTGCCTGTCACTCATAGCTTCATCTTGTGGACCACGGGGATCGGTAGGACTTGGTGGATCTTGGCTCTGTCCGGGTCCACTTCCAGTCGAATCCAGTCAGGGTGGAACGAGCCCTTGAAGCCCACAAATGCCAATTTATCTGCAGGAAGAAATCATTGGAGAGGGTTTGAGAGGATTTTTGCCTTCTCGTTGCAAGCTTCTTCTGGATTTGAATTTGTGTCGACTCTGGCTTGCTAGTGTGTATGAAGCTTGTTAGGGTTTCTCCGGTGAAGGAGAAACCAATCAAAACCTGTCAAGGCTTCTCCGGTTACTTGGCATCCTCTCTCCATCCAAAAATACAAATGATTCTTGCTGCGAAACAGCGCATAAGTCTCAATTCTGTTTATGGTTTATTCCTTAAAAGCAGGGCTGTTAAACAAATTTTTGTCGCGGGCCACATGGTAATTACCCTTGGAGGGCCGCAATGACTGTGAGTTTTGTTCAACCACCTCCACATATTACATACACAGTGAACAAGAAATTGATGGATAACTTGTTTTGAAATCAGAAAGTCAGGAATAATGGCTTGTTCAAACATTGTTATTATGGATTACATATGACAATTTGAAATTTTGGTTCAGACTTTAGCAAGCATCATGGAAGTTGATATGCTTGATTTGCTTTCGCGGGCCACATAAAATGATGTGGTGGGCCATATCTGGTCCCCGGGCCTCGACTTTGACACCTGTGCCTGAGTTTTTCCCTGCCTCTGTATGGTTCCAGACTAACTTTGTTTTTGTTTTGTTTTTTTTTTTAATCCGGAACACAGTGGCCCCTAACCTGGAATTTTAGGAGTGCAAGTAGACGATTGAGGGCCACAAATTGTCAAGTGTGTGTTAAGTGTAGAGCAGAAGATTGTCAGCAACAAATATATTCCAGAATAGTAATTATGAAAAAAATCTAGTTCTCTTGATTCAAATTTTAGGGGAAAAATGCAGCACAGTCTGGAGCCCTGGTCTGTCTGGATGCATTTGGAGGGTTTTTTTTTTGTTTGTTTGTTTTTTTTAATGTGTGGGGAGTGCCTTGGGATATCATGTTCTGAATTGGCGCAGTATAAATAAAATATACCTGGCTTGAATTGTGATGTCTATTCATCGCTTGGGACATAAGCAGGTATGGACAGTTGCTATGCTTTCCTTACATTTAATTTTAAAAACGAATGCATGTATGCCGTTGCTCATATTTGGCTTTTTTTTTTTTTAATGTCAAAAGTGAAACAGCGCTATCTAACTGTACATTAGTTGACTGCTATTCTGGTGAACATGAAGGTCCCACTAACTGAGGGAAATCATATTCTGTGGTGAGAAATTACCTTTCAGTGGCTTGCCTGAATCTGCTCCAAGTCGCTCCAGTGCTTTGGTCCACGGACCTCTCGTGACCAGACGGCCTTTTGATGTCAGGAGAACAACAGAACTGGAGAAATAATAATACTTTTTTAAAAAGTCTCTCAAATTTACCACATTCCCCAAAGTTTTCAAAGGAAAGTATTCATTTCACGTCAGACATTTTTCACAAATACAGCCATCCATTTTCTGATCCGGTTTCTCCTCACAAGGATCGCGGGGCGTGCTGCAGCCTATCCCAGCTGTCTTCAGGCAGAAGGCGGAGGACACCCTGAACTGGTTGCAGGCCAATCACAGGGCACACAGAGACGAACAACCATCCGCACTCACACTCACACCGAGGGACAACCTTTGAGTGTTCAATCAGCCTGCCATGCATGTTTTTGGAATGTGGGAGGAAACCAGAGTACCTGGAGAATACCCACACAGGCACAGGGAGAACATGCAAACTCCACACAGAGAAGATGGAGCCGGGATCGAACCCACGACCTCAGCACTGAGAGGTGCTAACCAGTTGCCTTTTTTTTTTTTCACAAATCAAATGTTATTCAGTTTTCTGTATTGCTGTTGCTGGGGTCTTTCCAAAACCCGATCTTACCCATCTTTCAGTCCACTGATGTAGTTGTTTATCTGCGCGGGGACGCCTTGAAGGATTGAGTTCCGGAAGCCTTTGCTGTCCACCACCTTCCCATCATGCCCATCGATGACGGTTAGCTGCACGCCATCTTCAGGTTGGTACAATTTTCTGCCATTCACCTGTCAGTGGCAAGTCAGTCACATAACTGTTTCAAGTGCTGCTAAGTCTTAGCAGGTGGAAATTCAGGACTACATGAGGCGAATTTGACCTGTGTAAACGCTTATGAAGGTTCCATACGACTTTATCTACCCCGTGAAGTCATTGAAGTTACAGTAGAGCAGTCAACCTACTAAGCCGTGAATAATACCTCAGATATTGGAGGTCTGGTTGGATTTTTTTCCCCACTGCCGCTACTGAACATTTGAAGACACCAAAATACTGACACCTGTTTTATGGGGTTCCCTGGTAGACTTTGAATCCATAAAAATCTATTTCAACTGAGCCAATTTTTAGGGGGGTGTGGACAAAAGTCCTTCAGTGTGATGAGCCGACACACTTGCCTTTTGAGCGAGACACCTGAAACTCCTTGAATGGTTGGTACGCTTTTCATAAAGATTCATGCAAAATTGACATCACTTGGATTAATCACTAACACTGAGGCCCAATTTAGGAAAGGCCCAGACTATGAGGTGTACAAAAGCCACTCCTTTTGTTGTCAAAGTCATTAAATGGACGGATCTTATTTATGGGACATTTCCTGTTATGGTCATATTTACACGTCATGATTCTGTTTTTGTCTTTGTACAACACAGCCACGTTGGGGTTTTAAAGATGCAATATTTGTTGTAACGCTTCATTGAAGAATGTCTGCGGGGTTGCAATGCGGATTTTTATTTAATTCTACCACTTTTTATCTGTCCATTCATCCATCCATCCATCTATCCATCTATTTATGAGTCATCCAGTGCTATGAAAAAGTATTTGCCCCCTTCCTGATTTCTGTGTTTTTAGCATATTTATCACACACACAATTTCAGTTTATCCAACCAATTTTAATATCACGCAGACAACCTAAGGAAATACAAAATGTAGTTTCTAAATGATAATTTCCTATACCAAAGGGGGTAAAAATTCAAACCTATCTGACTCAATGTGAAAAAGTAATTGCCCCCCGTTAAATCACAAATTAACTATGACTAATGACAGTTTTGGGAAAGAGTTCAATTTTACAGGTCATACCCAAACCTGACTACCACCACTACTGTTGAATCAAGAAATCACATAAATACAATCTGTCAGACAAAGTGAGGGAGGCTACAAGATCTCAAAAAACAAATGCATCATGCCACAATCCAAAGAAATTCAAGAAGAAATTCGAAAAAAAAGTTATTGAAATCTATGAGTCTGGAAAAGGTTGAAAAGCCATTTCTAAGACTGGGGCTTCAGCGAACCACTGTCAGAGCCATTTTCCACAAATTGAGAAAACTGGGAAAAGTGGCAAACATTCCCAGAAGTGGTCGACCAGCTAAAATTGCTTCAAGAGTAAGACGACAATGCATCCAGGAGGTCACAAAAGAACCTAGAACAACATCTAAAGAACTACAGACCTCGCTGTCTTCAGTTCAGTGTTCACGAGTCTACCATAAGAAAGACACAGGCCAAAAATGGCATCCAGGAGAGAGTTCCCAGGCGAAAATCACTGCTGTCCAAAAAGAACGCAAAGCCTCGTCTCACATTTGCCAAAAGAAATCTTGATGATCCTCAAGACTTTGGGAAAAACATTCTGTGGACCGATGAGTCAAAAATTGAATTTTTTGGAGGATGTGCAGCCCGTTAGGTCTGGGGTGAAAAAATGGCACAGCATACAATAAAACGAACATTATGCCAACAGTGAAGCATGGCGGTGGCAGTGTCATGGTCTGGGGCTGCTTTGCTACATCAGAGCCAGGACAACTTCATGTGATTGATGGGACAAAAAATGTTGCTGGCCAAAAACAACACACCAGCAAGTCCACCTCTGAATGGCTGAAAAAAATAAATAAACAAAATTGGGTTTTGGAGTGGCATTTAGAAACTGCAATTTGCATTTCATTGGGTTGTCTTTGTGTGATATTAAAATTGGGCTGATGAACTGAAACCATTGCGTGTGGTAAATATGCAAAGAACCCAGAAATCAGGAAGGGGGCAAATATTTTTTCACGGCACTGTAGCTGGTTGTTTACCTGCTTTGGGCAAGTGCAGTGAAGGGAAAACGAATTGGGAATTCTGCCTCCACTGTAGGAAATCATTGTTTGTCAGGAGCGGTCTTTTCATCTATTCCCCTGTACATTCACTGCATGGCTAAAAACACCCAACTCGATAGAGAAACGAATTAAAATGATTAAAGAAGCAGGTGTCAGACACAGAACCAGGTACAGTACATTGTGCAACCCCTGGGTTATTTTATGTGCGCCTCTTAGCCAATTCGGTTCCGCTGGTCCATCAAGGGCAATCGCACAGGTGGTGATAATTGGCTGCTACTGGTAAAGGGGCAGGCAAGTGGGTGTGTTTCGCGGAGAGGAAATGTTTGTTAGCCACCGGCCGCTTGTGCGTGGAGGACGTGTGCTCTCTCGCCGTTACCTGGCCTGTAAAAAAACTCGGTACTGAGTGGGGATAAGCGGATAAAGTCTTGGATATTGTTGTTGTCTTTTTTTGGTTTGGTTGTCTATGTGGTTTACTTATCCGTCATCGCTAATGTTTATTTTTTGCTTACGGGTCAATTAGCCAGTTGCGCATTCTAGTGGTCTAGTGGTGCCGCATGTTTTTCAACCCATGTGCCGCGGCACACTGGTGTGCCGCGAGACATTGTCAGGTGTGAAGCGGGAAAATATCCAATTTGTATGCCTGTGCGGTCTTTCTCCCATAAAGTAATCATGTAGTACCCTCCCATACCGCTAGGGAGCAGCAACAGCTAGCCAATTGCCTTGTGTTTCGACGAGAGACAAGCGAATTTGTGACGCATGAATGCAGGACGACGGTGAAACAATAAATATGAAAGATGATAAAATACTGTTTTCTTTGTGTTCATTTGATTCCAATTCAAACTGTTCTAACGTCATTCTTCAATGTTAAAAACGGTTATAGTCACAATATAACACGTTAATTGTTAAAATAAGCGGGGGTGGGGGGTTCACATTTTCAGCTAGTGGTGTGCCGCGAGATTTTTTTCAATGAAAGAAGTGTGCCTTGGCTCAAAAAAGTTTGAAAAACACTGGTCTAGAGTGTAAGCAGGTGAACTAAAACGCCGTGCATAGCTAAACAGGCATGACAATTGCCGTGAATGCACATCTCAAGTTGGGGCAGTGAGGGCACTCTCGAAAACCAAGGACTGGCTGAAAAAAATGATGATTACCTCAGAAAAGGCAAAGTCCTCCTTGATGTGGAAGAACCGAGTGTTATAGGACTCCAGTTTGACTTCCAGTAAGTGCTCTGGTGAATGCTGAAACAAACAAAAGAAAATATTCTGAAACAATTTAGACATTTGGGAGAGATCCATTCGCCACAATGAGACAGCAAATAGTGAGAGTGGATATCAGTATTTCTTTGAAAAAACTCACCAGTTCAATCAAGATCAAGTAACTAAGATCATTCATTAACATTATCTTCTGTTTTTATGTCCTCTAATTTGAGTCTTTACTTTGTTTGAAACAAAAAAGAGCACTCGTTTAGTCACAGTCTCGATGACAAACTCAGTCCACGTTAATGATAAACTTGAGTTTGCTGAACCACAGTGAGCAAAGCAAACATGTTCATGATCAGACTTTCCAAAATATATCATAACTTGAACATTTCAATACTTTTGAGCTTGAATTAGATTCTTTCCATCTCTCACCAGTCTGTCATTTGGGATCTTTCTGGGCATCGGTACGTCTACGACAGGCAGCTCAGCGTGTTTTGGGTAGGCCCGAGCCATGCAATTGCTGGGTGGACTGCCTTTAGGGATGACAGCTGTTATCTTTATCCTCTCACATCCTTTAAGGGAGCAGAAGGCAAATTGCTCCCTGTCATTATGAGCCTGAACCTTCAAGAAGAGCAGCCTGCAAAACACACACACACACACACACACACACACACACACACACACACACACACACACACACACAAACCACGGTTTGACCATATGATCGCACAGGACCACCATTGGTTTGTTTTGAGGTATTGACATGTGATTGAAAACAATGGCCAGTCTATAACTGTGGCTATTTTCTGGCATAAAAATGCTACTCCATATATATCGTAGAAAGGGTTCTGTCAGTCGTCATCTGTACCTGTGGGTAAAAAACAAAAAAAACAAAAAACAAAAAAAAAAAAAACAAAAAAACAAAAAAAAAAAACAAAAAAAAAGCAAAAAAGGACGTTTCGCTTCTCTCACAGAAGCTTCGTCAGCGGTAGACAACCCTGAAGTCTCCGTGAAGACTCCGGGAAGTTGCTCTGCGCTAAAAAGCTGAGCGTGGCCTGTTTGAGGACTGGGTGGGGATGGTTAGTCACGCCCCTAT